AACACACTGCTTGGCTCTTGCATCAAATTTAGTTCTTCCATGAGTGAGGGTGCTAGCATAGCATAGACTACCAAATACTCTAAAATGGCCTAAGAAAGTAGGTTTATCATACAACAGTTCATAAGGAGAAAGATTGTTCAAGACAGGAGTGGGAAGTTTGTTAATGAGATAAACTGAGTGAAGGATGCAATCACTCCAATACTGCAAAGGAAGACCTGACACTGAAATCTCAAGGATCTAGCAACATTCAAAATATGTCGGTGCTTCTTGTCTACCCTAGCATTCTGTTCAGGGGTCTCAACACAAGATATTTGATATTCTATACCATGTTCCAGATAAAAGTCACACATATTGAATTCCTTCCCCTGATCACTTCTAACTGTCTTAACAGTTTTCCCAATTTGATTATGTACCAAATGACAAAACCCTTTCAATAATTCTCTGGTTTCACTTTTGTGTTTCATTAAGAACACACAAATTGCTCTTGAATGAATCCATCATAAGAATGAACAGAAAGTGGTCCCCAATTGTCTACATGGATCAATGGGAATAAATCATTTGCATGACTAGTGCTAATAGGAAAGGGAAGTTTCTTGTGTTTGGAATAATGGCAAACATCAGAATGAGAGACTTTAGTAGCAGTTACAGTCGAATCAGATTGTTGTAACAAGGAAATTCTATCACCACTAGGATGGTCTAATCTCCAATGCCATAGATCAAACTGTTGGATTCTAAAGTTGAGGGCTGCTACTTGTGGCGGAGGTGAAAGTTGGTTAGAAGCTGGTGGTGGTAGAAAGGAGAGTTGATAAATAACTTTGGTTTCCTTTGCCAAACCAATCATCCTCTTGTTGAGTACGTCCTGGATTCGGCATAAATCAAGGCTAGAGGGAAATCTTTGGTAAGCTTACTAACTGACACGAGGTTGAAAGAAAAGCTAGGGACTAGAAGAGCATTGTATAAGTGGAGGCCAAAAGGAAGTTTCACTGTCCCAATATGAGTAACATGAGCCTTAGTACCATTGGGAAGGTGAACATATGTATTTTTTACTAGCTTATGTTCAACAAACAATGCTAAGAAACATGAAATATGATCTGAAGCTCCTGTATCTAGAATCCAAAAGGTGACTAGATTTGTGAAATGATTGTCACTATGAGCAGACATGACATAGTTACCTGAATAGTTTGGGAATGGTGATATATATTGGGACACTGAGAAGGCATTGTGTGAAATGGATGGGGAAATAGGTGGTGAAATGACATTGTTAGCACTAGACTGCGTCATAAGCCTCAATCTGGTAATTTCTTCATGAGTAAAGCCTACAACAGAATTAGCAACACCTACTGGGCTACCTCCAGATGAATTACCATTCACATTACCTTTAGTATGTGAATCTCTTGAACTCCCTTGAGATACTGAGCCTGCAAAACGTGGTGTACTACTCTGTGAACTACTAAATTTGTTACCAGCTGCTAGTTCTTTATCCCTTAATTTCTTCCTCCATCAGTCATCACCAGTATGATTAGTCTTCTTGTAGTAGACACAATATCGCCTGTCTTGAGTTCTTTGTCCTGCTAGTGTGTCTAAGTTCACAGCTAGAGAAACAGTTTGTGCTCTCTTTCTAGTACCCTCTCCTTTCAGCTTCTGTTCATGCTGCAATGAGTCGTCGTCCACTGCTTCTAAAACACTTGGGGATGGCATCTGCATAACTATATGGGTTTTCAAAACTTCAAAATCTGGGTTTAGACCTCTAAGAACCGATATATAATTAGTCTCATGTCTTTCTGTGTAAGTAGTAACATCATCACAAGGATTTGGGTTCCCTGGAACACAATTACAAGGAAGAATAGGATAAAATGTGAGTACTCTTCCCAAAGTACCTTGATCTTGGTGTAGTAATCATTAATAGTCAGATTACCCTGCTTACATCGCTGAATATTATCCTCCAGATTGATGATTCTCACAACATTTGATTTACCAAACCTGCGCTTCAGTTCACCCCACAATACTTTTGCATTCACATGGTTCATAATTGACCTTCTCAAGTCCTTGTGCAGGAATTTTATAATCAATGACAAGACAATAGTATTACAACCATCCCACAACATAAATTTATCATCATTCAAAGCAGGCATAGGTAAAGTACCATTGATGAAACCCATTTTGTGTTTCATCTTCAAATCACTACAGATCTACTCCAATTGGTGCCATCAAACACTTCTGGACCAATTGATTGATTCAATGCCTTGTTTGGGTTCAGTTAAAATGGGTTTCCAAAGGTGATTACCTCATATCTGAGTTGAGTCTGCTGTTGCTGACTATCAAAGGACTCAAACTAAATTTTCATCCCAGTCGAGCCACCAGATCTATTTCCTCGTCCATGAGGTGTGATTGGAGGTGTTCCTGACATCGAGCTTGCCCTAGATCGTCACCGCTCTGATACCATAAGAACTTTTTGAGATATAAAAAGATTGTAATTTTGGTGAAGGCAGACCCTTAATAAAAAGGGTTGTTTCTCTTTCCTTTTATATCAGCTCGATAGAAGTTTAACAGTACTAATATGGTTGTGCCACGTGTCAAGGAAACACTAGTTATTGCAAACATAAAACACTGTTAATTAACAACTACTAAACCAAACCAGACGGCAAAGTTTTAGTTTCTAAGGAAACCCTTCTAACATGAAACACCACCGTCTTGTAGCTCTGCTTCCTTCTTCTTCTTCTTCTTCGTTCCTCTGCTCCATAATCCTTTCTTCATAAGGATTCAGCAACTTGGTGATGTCAATGGGAGGACTTCAGTCATGGGTCTCCCATTTCTTGAATCCCGTCTTCCTCTTCTCCAATCCTTAACCCCAAAACCTCAAATTCTCCTCTCCAATCCGAATGGTCACCGGTCACGGTTCTCCGCCGACTACCGCCTCTACCATGTCCTCTTCCCTTTGATTCACCCTCAACCTAATTGGGGATTTGAGGATGCCCTAGGATTTGTTCTGGATTCAATCTTTTTTCTTTCAAATTGATTGTTGGTCATGGATCTTCGCCGCATCCATAAGCTTCTACTTCTACCTCTTCAAGCCGCTGCTGCAAACTCACCTTTACCCTTCAATTTACTAATGTCAGATGGAGAGACTTGAAGAAGAGGTGAAGTTTGGGTGCGTGGACATAGCATTCTCACCACAAAGTCGATTGGAGTATAGCAGAGGAAGAAAGGGGAAAGGATTGAGTGAGCGCTGCTGCAAACCCTCCTTATACCATTATCACCGACGACAATAGAAGCTTCGTCGAGAATGGAGAAAGGGGAAATGGTTGACGAGGATGACTACGACTAGGAATTAAGAGATTTTTTCATTGAATGAAATTAGGAATTTAAGAAGGTAGGAATGTAAGAAGATCTCGAAGATACGGGCCTTGATATCTGCTTGGCCGAACATATATTATCATCGGAGGAATTCCTTATTAGAAAAGACGCACACAGGACGCATGACAATGCATTAATGCTTGGACTATCCCAATCTAGGCATAAATAGCCCCAAAGTGCATTAAATGGTAACTTAATAACTCTCTCTCTCTCTCTCTCTCTCTCACTACACTCTCTTTTATATTTTCTAACTAACTTAGACATCAAAGAGTGCACAGGAAATCGCCTGAGGACCTTTGTTGTAGACTTATGAGGATGCCTCCCAGGAACTGAGCTGCATCCGACTCGATACGCCCTTTTCGCCTAGGAGATTCTGGGTTCGAACAATTTAGCGCCCATCGTGCGTCAATCGATAAGTATGCAACAACCTTAATGGGAGATCCTTCAGTTACTCAAGTGAAGGGAATGGTGGAGAATAGAGGAATCATGGAAATGTCTCCCCTAGTAGAAGAGGAAACGGAGCTGGAAGATCGTGTTAAAGATCATGGAAAGCAAATTTTAAGCATGCAAGACAGTCTCAATTGGATCTTAGCCCTGCTGAAGGGAGGTGCGAAAGAAAAAGATGGCTGACTAGAGTGCTCAAGGACTAAGAAACATGGAGAAAAACTCATGGCAATCGACATCTGACTCGCTCGAAACTACATTGTGAATTAATCCCGACTAGAGCCCAAGTATAAACTATAGCCGGGTGTAGTATAGGGAAAGTATGTTTTAATTGTCAAACTCGGGCCGATCCATGTACCCCTACTTCAATCGCTTAGGTTATTATCTAGCAAACGGTTTTGAGTTTAAAACTAAGAAAACTATAAAATAAACAAACAGGTAAAGTAAATCGAGGTTGTCCCAATGAAAGAAGAATTCACCCGGGTATTGCTCCCCCTAGCTACAAGTGAAGAAAACCTCACTCTCTTAATCAATCGGTTAAGGAAAACAATTAAGCGAGGAACCTTAGCTCTCTCAATCCATGGATTAAGGATTGCTACAATAAACTAGGGAGTCTAGCTCTCTTAATCTTTTGGCTAAGGATTGCAACAAAAAACTAGGAGTCTTGGCTCTCTTAACCGATAAAACTAAGCGTTGCAAGAACCAATCCCTCGGAACTTAATCCGGACGGCAAAGTAAAACCCAAGTTAAAGTGCTAAATCAAAGTTTGAGGTTTGCCCTAATTTTTCCTAGGTAGGTGACTCAATTGGGCAAGGAATCCAGCTTATCAAAGCCTCCTAACAAAAAGGAGAATTCCCTCTACCTAGGTCAAATTGGCATAATAATTAGAAATGAAGAATACAACCCAATCATCATGAAAGTACCTCAAACTCTGCATTAAACACAAACCAACACACATAGCATTCAATCCATCACCTATTTCAAGCTAGGGTTCACAACACCCAAGTGAAGAGGTAGGCTAATCCATAGCTAAACAATCTTCCTTCCTTGTTGTTTGAATCTCTCTTGAGAGGTAAGAATCTTCACACCTCTGTCTTACGACAAGCTCAATCTCCTTCTTCCTCTTTTGAATGATAATTTCTCTCTCTAGAATAGGAAGAGGAAACCCTAATCTCACAAGAAACCCTCCTTTATTCTGAAAACTAAAAATCTACCAAACTGCTTCTTCTTCCTTCTACTGCAGACTTTATAGTCTGCATAAAGTCTGCAGAAATCAGCTCGAACACGATCACGAACACGTACGTGTCCTCTGGCCGTGTTTTATCCCAAGTGTGCTTTGTTTTGCCGTCTGCGAGAAAAACCATAACACCTCCAGGGAACACAGACTTGTTTTGGTCGTGTTCTTCAAAACTTGACGAAACACTCTGTTTTTGCCCGACTTCACGCCCTCTTCGTTGATCATCACGGTCTGAGTGACCATGATAATCTTCTATGCCAGTGAGGCGCGCAAAAGCCTCTAGAACTCGGCTGCGGACACGACCTATGAACACGGGTGTGTTCAAGTCTTGTTCGTCGAATGGCAAGAATCTTCTGTCGCCTGACATGTTGTCGTGTCCAAGTAGATGTTGTGGAACACGGTCTATGAACACGGCCGTGTCTAGTTCTTGTGCACTTATGTTTTCTTCATTTCTTTGCCATTCGTTCCGAACTCGTCCTCGACCTTCCCACACGTGCTAGGAAATGAAACACGTCCTCGACCTTATCACTATACCAAGCCCTTGTTCGTCCTTCTGAAATGAATCTCTGTAGCTATTTCATCGCCACCGCCATTGCACGTTAGCCTCCTTGAAGACGACCTTGTCTCAGTCCACTATTTGTTGCCCTCAATCAGTTCACAGGCTATATGCAATATTCCAGATCTAGCATTGACAACTGCATTTGCCCTCAAATCTATATAGCTCGCGTTCTTCCATATCGAAGCAGAACTTCTGCCCAATTGGTCACCACCGCTTCATCTTCATCTCAGCCTCATCACAACCTCTGCCGCCTCTGCTCTTCGATCGTCCCACATCCTACCATATCCACCGCTACTCCCATCTCCTCCTCCTCCAAACCGTCGTTATTCACTCTACGGATTGATTAGAGCCTCTTTAGCTCCAAATTATGGGTTTCTTGCTTTCCTTTTCTTCTACCAAGCCAATTTTCAATTTGGTGTTGGAGAGAAAGAACAAAGAAGAGAAAAAGAGATAGGGGGGCTTCTATAATCTGTAGAGGGAAGGGGAAAGGCAAAAGATAATAGAATAAATTACCAGGGGAAAATATAATAAAATATACTTTATTTTTGGGTCTGCCGAGTGAACAACCACGCTGAGTGAACATCATAAACATTAAAATACAATTTTCATTTTGGTTCTTTTGCTTTTTATTTTGGCCAGAATTTCTTTTGTTTTTTATTCAAAGATGGATATACTTTATAGAAAAAGAAAGATATTAAGATATCGTGTATAGAACTGTAGAAGGGCATTTAATATATTAATTAACATGTTCATGAAATATTGTTATGTTTGTCATCGTGCACATTAGTATTAGTATTATTATTTTTGAATTTATGTAAATAAATATATTTATAAAAATGAAATAATAAATTAATATATATAATCAAATAGCACGATTTCGTCACACTCTTAATATTAAATTCTCTTAAAATGAGCGCTCTCACACTTTACGAATTGATTACCTAAGACTATCCACAACAAGATGGGGAAAAGAGGGAAAAAAGGGTGGAAAATCCCACAATAGGGTAGGAAAAAAAGGGAAAAAAGAAAGGAAAGGAAAAAGTGGTAGGATTTTTCCTTCACTAGAGAACAAATGGAGGAGGGAAAAAGGAAAAGGGGTAGGTGGGACCCGTGATTTTGTTTTATTGGTTTAGTTGTTTTAATTAGTGATTATAGTATGTTATTGGCTAACAATCATATTTTTCAACATTCATATTTTTTAACAGCAATATTTCCTACAATCTTATTTCCAAGATCTATATTTTTCGTTATTGATGACGTCATATTTAATTAGTGATAAAATAAATTATGTCCAAATTTAAAAAAAATTATATCGATATGTTTATTTTAATTAATTATTACTGCTTATATAAAAATTATGAACAAATTATCTTAATAAAGTGATGAGATCAACACTAAATTGATTTTGGCAAAAAAAAAAACTCTTATCAATTACCCTATTTTCCCTTCCCACTTGTGGCCAAACCCTTTCCTAAACTCTCAATTCCCTATTTTCCCACCCAAATTTCCTTCTTTTCCCTACCACCATTGTGGATGGTCTAAGTCTAGTAGGGATGGTTGTATCGTATCACTATATAGGTTTTGATACTGCAGCTCTTCGACTTCAACCCATTGTCTGCTAATCTATTGGCCAGATTTACAAATATTTGCCGCCAAGCAAATTCTGCAGATCACCATGTGCCATTAGACTTGACGTTACCATTGGTCTTCACTTCTCCTATGCTTTAATGAATTTCAAAAATGAAAACTCAGGGTAACACTTGTTTTGGGTTTGGAAATTTCAGCTTGTTTGTTCTCATTGACTTTCTTCAGCTTATATAGCTGACAAGTTGTTGGTTTATAGAACAAGTAAAGAAGACAAACTTGGGAAAGAAGAAAGTACAATCCGATTTGGGAAATTGGACAAAATAAGAAGTTGAGCATCAGTTTGGTAATTCGCCAGACACAACTTGGCTCCAGCTCCTATACGCCGTCGTCTTGGTCGCAGGCGAGGTTTCCTTTGGATACGGCGCCGTCTTCACTTTAACGCTTAGTTCTTCCCGACACGGCGTCGTCTTCACTCCAACGGTCGACTGATTTGAAGGATGCTCCTCTGCTTGCTGCTCTGCTTCTGCATTTGAGATTGGCGAAGAAAAACTACTGTTTTTCTCTGATACCCCCCGCAAGCTGGTGGGCAAATGTTGAGCACACCGAGCTTGGACAGGAGATGAAGGAATGTAGCTGGTGGGAGTGGTTTGGTGAAGAGGTCTGCAAGTTGGTGGACTGTGGAAACATGTAGGAGTTTGATTGTGTTGGAAAGAACCTTGTCGCGGACGAAGTGGCAGTCAAGCTCGATGTGCTTCGTCCGCTCATGGAATGTTGGATTCTCTGCGATGTGTATTGCTGATTGGTTGTCGCAGTAGAGGATGGTTGGTTGGAAGTGGGGAATTTGGAAGTCTTGAAGGAGGTAGAGCAGCCATTGAATTTCAGAACTGGTGTGGGCAAGGGCCCTGTATTCAGCTTCACAGGATGATCTTGATATGGTTGTTTCTTTCTTGCTTTTCCAAGAAATCAACGAGTCGCCAAGGTAGACACAATAGCCAGTGGTGGATCGTCTTGTGTCAACGCAGGCAGCCCAGTCAGAGTCGCTGAATGCTTTGAGTTGGAGATTGGATTTGGCTGAGAAGAAGAGACCACTAGTTGGAGCTGACTTCAGGTATTTGAGGATTCGGAGAACTGCTTTGTAGTTATCATTGCTTGGATTGGCCATGAATTGGCTGACTTGGTGGGTTGCATAGCTGATTTCTGGCCTTGTGGTAGTTAGGTAGATAAGCTTGCCCACCAATCTTCTGTATAGGGTTGGGTCATTGAAAGGATCAGAATGATTGGATGATAAGTGCCCCTTGTAATCCATTGGTGTAGTGACTGGTTTGCAATGTAAAAGATCAGCTTCCTCAAGGATCTCTAATGTGTATTTTCTCTGGTTGATGTGAATTCCTTTGGCTGATCTGGCCACTTCAATACCCAGAAATTTTTTTAGATTTCCCAAGTCCTTGATACTGAATTCATGGTGTAGAAATTGTTTGATATGATTGATCTCCTGCAGACATGTTCCTCCAATAATCAGATCATCAACATAGACTAGTATAGATGTATAGGTGGAACCTGTGGCTTTGTAGAACAAAGAATGATCAACTTTGCTGGGTTGGTAGCCTTGAGAGATAAGCTTATCTGCAAGTTTGGAGAACCACTGTCTTGAGGCCTCTTTTAGTCCATAGAGTGATTTTTTGAGGAGACAGACAGGTGTTTTCATTCCAGTAGGTGCTTTGTATCCAGGTGGGAGTTTCATGTAGACGTCTTGGTCTAGGTCTTCATGGAGGAAAGCATTGTTCACATCTAAATGATGAACATGCCAATTCCTTGCTGCAGCAAGAGCAAGGAACAACCTGATTGTTGTCATTTTGACTACTGGGGCAAATGTGTCCTGGTAGTCTACTCCCTCTTGTTGACTGTAGCCTTTGGCTACAAGTCTGGCCTTGAATCTGTCAATTGAGCCATCAGGATTGAATTTGACCCATTTGCAACCTATAGCTCGTTTGTCAGCTGGCAATTCAACCACTTCCCAGGTTCCATTAGAATCAAGTGCTGCTAGTTCTGTGTTGACAGCAGAATCCCATTCAGGTGATAAAATTGCCTCTTTTTAAGTATCTGGTTCTTTGTGAGAGGAGATACTCAAAACAAAGTGTTGGTGAGAAGGAGATAGATTAGAGTAATCTAGAACTGTACTGAGGGAATGTTTAGTACCTGAGATATGCTGCTTGGGAGGATGACTGGTTGAGTGATTCTGCTGGAGGAGGTTGCAGTGGTATTGTTGGAGATAGGTAGGTCTTTTGATGTGTCTGGTTGATTTCTTTATTGGTTGGATTGGTGGTTGTTGGAGTGGTGGGGATGGGATGGTTGGGGTTGACTGTGGTGGAGATGAGATGGCTGGGGTGAGTTGAGGGGTGTTATCCATGCTGTCATCACTATCATAGTGGGGTGGACTAGGGATAGGAATTGGATTGGAGGTAGTAGGTGATGTGGAAGGGAGTGGATCATCATAGAAGATGGGATTGGGTGGAGGGCTGTAAGGGGCGTTTGGGTCTGGTGTTGTGTCTTTGAATGGGAAATGATGTTCATAGAAATGAACATCTCTGGAAGTGAATACTTTATTTGTAGTTAGGTCATAGATTTTGTAGCCCTTGATGCCTGCAGTGAAGCCAAGGAAAACACCTTTTCTGGCTCTAGGATCAAATTTTGTTCTGTGATTCTTTAAGGAACTGACAAAACAAAGGCATCCAAAAACTTTTAGTTCTGATAGGTTAGGTGGTTTGTGAAAGAGGATTTCAAATGGTGCTTTGTTGGCAAGAACAAGGGAGGGAACTCTGTTGATGAGGTGAACATCATGTTTGACACAGTCACTCCAAAAACCAGAAGGTAGATTGGCTTGGAATTTGAGAGCCCTGGCAACAACAAGGATGTGTTGATGTTTTCTTTCAACCTTGCTGTTTTGCTGGGGTGTTTCAAAACAGGAAAGTTCATGAAAGATTCCAGTTGAGTTAAAGAAATCTGTCATTTGAAATTCTTTTCCTTGGTCACTTCTGATTCTTTGGACAGATGTTTGAAACTGGGTTTGAACATAAGAACAGAAATGTTGAAGCTTGGATCTTGCTTCTGATTTGGAAGAGAGAAGTATAATCCAAGTCATCCTAGTAAAATCATCTACAATGGTTAGAAAGTATTTAAAACCATCATAGCTAGGGACAGAATTAGGACCCCAAAGTTCCACATGTATCAGTTGGAAAGATTGTGTGCAAACAGAGTTGCTACATGGAAAAGGCAGTCTTTTTTGCCTTGCAAAATGACAGACATCACATAGCAATGACTTGTCAGTATGAATAGAAGAACATATCTCTCTCAGGGAAGGGATTTTGGAATGAGAAACATGGCCAAGTCTGTAATGCCATAGGTCAAAATGGTTGAAACTTGCAGCAGTGATGTGTTTAGGTATACTATATGGGTTGGGAATCAATGAGGTAAAGTCCTTTGGAGAGCTTAGCAGAACCAGTCATCCTCTTCTACTGCATATCCTGGATTTGACAAACATTTGAAAAGAAGGTTAGACATAGAGAAGTTGTGGTGGTCAGTTTGCTTACTGAAATTAGGTTGAAGCTAAACTGTGGTACAAAGAGGGCTTCTTGTATAAGTAGACCAGGGATACAAGTGACAGTGCCTGTATGAGTGGCCTGTACTTGTTCACCAGTTAGGAGTGTAATGTAAACATCATGAATGATTCTGGGAATGGTTAGTAGCTCAAGAGAGCAAACAACATGGTCTGAAGCACCTGTATCCAGGATCCATTTGTTGTTGTAGGGTAGTTTGGTGTCAACATTCAGTGTGAATTTACCTGAATTGTTTGTAAATGTAGCAGCAGTAAAGGCAGAACTGGAAGACTGAGATGGACCATTGTCTTTGACTAGGTTCATGAGCTTGTCAAAGTCAGCCTTTGTGAGCTTGACTTCTTGGTTGGAATCATCAGGTAGGTTGTTGGAAGTGGAGTTGACAGAGCTTCTACCACGACCAACACCAGTAGAGGATTTGGGTGGGAAACCATGTTTGAAGAAGCAACGTTCCTCAGTGTGACCTTGACGTTTGCAGAAGGTACATTCATAGGATTTTCTTGCAGGATTGCTGGGTTTGGTGGACACACCAGATGGCCAACCATGTTTGTGTTAACAAGTGTCTTCAGTGTGGCCATCAATCTTGCAGAAAGTGCAGTGAGGACGAGGCCTCCTGTTCTGGAAGTTGGTGTTCCCTTGAGCAGCTAAGGCCATGCTGTCAGTGGTACGAGGCTTTCCATTTTGGTTTCCATTTAGTTGTCTTTCATGCTGAAGCATGCGTTGAAAGACCCTATCTATTGGTGGAATGGTGTCACCAAATAGAACTTGAGATCTAACAGTTGAGAAGTTGTCATTGAGGCCTCTTAAAAACTGAATGACGTAGTTGGTATCTCTATAGAGGAAGACTAATTTCATGGCATTGCATGTGTTGACACTGTCTTGAGTGCAGGTGCAGGGTTCAAGAGGTTGGTAGTTGTCAAGCTCGTCTTTTAGGGTGATGAGATTGCCATAGTAGTCAGTGACAGAGAGAGTACCTTGCTTGAGTGTGCAGAGGGATTCAATGAGTTCAGCAATGCGAATCAAATCACCTTGGCCATACCTTGCACGTAGACTACGCCATGCTTCAACAGCTGTTTTGCAGGACATGACTGTCTTTCGGATTGCAGGCTCGACAGCTTGCTGGATCCAGGCCAACACCATGATGTTGTTGCGTTTCCAGGAGGTGGACTGGTCACTATCATCTCCTGGATCTGGAATGCTTCCATCAAGGAAGCCAGTCTTGTTTTTGGCTCCCAAGGCGTTGAACATTGCCTTGTGCCAGTCATTGTAGTTTGTGGTAGTGAGTTTCTCACTGACAAGTTGAGATCCAGGTTGCTCACTACCATGAAGGTAGTAAGGATCAGACATTGGATCTGTGTTTGGTTGTTCCATGGGTGGCGGCTAGGGTTAGAACCCTTGAGGCTCTGATACCATAACACTTGTTTTGGGTTTGGAAATTTCAGCTTGTTTGTTCTCATTGCCTTTCTTCAGCTTATATAGCTGACAAGTTGTTGGTCTACAGAACAAGTAAAGAAGACAAACTTGGGAAAGAAGAAAGTACAATCCGATTTGGGAAATTGGACAAAATAAGAAGTTGAGCATCAGTTTGGTAATTCGCCAGACACAACTTGGCTCCAGCTCCTATACGCCGTCGTCTTGGTCGCAGGCGGAGTTTCCTTTGGATACGGCGCCGTCTTCACTTCAACGCTTAGTTCTTCCCGACATGGCGTCGTCTTCAGTCCAACGGTCGACTGGTTTGAAAGATGCTCCTCTGCTTGCTGCTCTGCTTCTGCATTTGAGATTGGCGAAGAAAAACTACTATTTTTCTTTGATACAGGGATATTATAATGTATCAGAGTGTTACATGTGGCATGCTTCCATTGCTTTCGCAAATAGTAAACGAAAATCACTTGTCTCATCATCTGGCCCAAAGCCAAATTTGCTTGAGCTGGAGTGCACTGGATTTCCAGCTTCATGCCATCACTCGTGGCAGGGAGTTAGTCACCGTTATTTTATCACTTATCAGCAGCAGACACCCCAGAAAAGCAATACATCCAAAAGAAGAAGATAGAAGTAATCCAGAAACCAATGATAATGAGTAAGCATTAGACTAAAGAGCAACGTCAACTGCCAAACAAATGTGTTGACGGAAACGTGAACAAGGGAGCACATCACCAAGGGCAAGAAAACAGGTACCGTATGAAAATTCGAATGTTTAATAGGTTATGAGATAAACCAGGAACTCGAGAAGTTACCTGACAGGGGTTCTTTCCACTTGAAAACATTGAAGACTTCTCAACCTTCAAGAGCAAAAGCAACCATTTTGACTGTGATATACAAGTATTGGATATCATCCTTTCACATGAATGAGGAAGGCAGCAATCATTAAAACACCAAACTGAACTCAACTTCGAGAACTGCTGCAGTAACTGCAGATTCTCTCTGCATCATCGCAAATTCAAAATTAAACAATAAAGACCTCAATGCTCCCGCTAAGTTTTATCATCAGCATTGCAGGTCTTCACGTCAGGAAACATATATGAGAACTCCCCGACGCCATAGAAACATATAAATATATCACGGTAGGAATTAATTCTTTTAAAGTGAATACCAGGATTTTGTCCCCACACACCACCACCATCAAGTCCATTAATCTCGTGTTCATACATTTCCAATCAAATAAAGCACGCAAACATTAATACCCACTAATGACGGGGACATCAGGAAGGCCAATGTGACCAATGTTTTCAACTGCCAAGTACTTCACATATGGAAGAACCGGGTTATCAATCTCTGCAGTGTTTGCTCTTTGCATTGCTTCATCTAGTTTCACGACTACCATGGGCAAGCCTGGGAAGTATGGATGGTTCAAGAGGTGTTGCTTCAGCTGAGAAACAAACAACCACAAAATGCAGTGTCCCCAAGGGTCATAGCATGAACTGGGAGTTACGTGAGGTTTTTCCTAGCTCCTATCACTGGCAGTATCTAGCCAAGCATTCAAAAAAGTTGAACCTCTATCCTTAGGCAGCAAAATTGATGAAGCTAAGGAACTCAGATCAAACCATAACCCAGAACAACCAAATAGAAAATTTAGTTCCTATCTATCTTCCTTTCCACTTAAATTCCTTTGGACCGGCAAGATTCCCTGTAGATGCATTCATCTCCTCTAGTATGGTCATTGCCAACTCTAGCTTCCCCATTTTCTTCAAGCAGTTAACTAGTGACCTATAAACATAAACAGAAGGGCGGATCTGTCTCATCTTCATCTCATTGAAGAGTCTCAACGCTTCCTCAATGTTTCCTGATTGTCCAAAACTACTAATCAAAGCAGTAAAAGTGAGTAAGTCTGGTTGAATTCCAATAGCTGACATGTCCTTTAAGTATACCAAACACAAATCCAGTCTCCCCTTCCTCCTTAAGTGATTCAATATCGTATTGAAAGACACGAAATCCGGGATAATCCCTGCATCCTTTAAAGAGGCAAATTTGTTGAGCATTTCATCAGTCTGACCAGCACGACCTAGCATATCCATGATAGTATTGTAGGTGACCAGATCAGGCTCACACTTCAGACTCTTTATCTCATCAAATATCATAAGGGCTTTATCCGACTGGCCACACTCAGCAAAGGCAGAGATGAGTCTGTTCAGAACTAGAGTATTGCTTGGATATTTTAGCTCCGAAATTTCTGTGGTAAGTTGAAGTAAACAGAGAGGCTCGTTTATCCTAGAGAAAGCCCGTGCTAGAGTAAGATAACAAGTTGAGGGAAGGGATTTACAATACAGAATTAGATCTTTGAAGACCTGGCACAAAATTTCAACATCATTTCTTCGACCTGCTACTTCCATGAGGGTATTGTACAAGTTTGGGGCGGTAAAAATGTTTCTCTCCCTTAAGAATTGAAGCAATCTAGCAGCGGCAGAAAGATTTCCAGACTCGCATAGCTTACTAATTTGGGAGCTGCATATTTCTCTGGCAGACATTGGAGCATTTTCTATAGCATTGAGAATTTGATACCAGTTCTCATCTCTGAACTCCTCATCCTCTGGAGATATCTGGGTAGAAACTTGCTTATAGTTACTTAAAACCTCTGTTATGCAAGCAAAGAGAGGCATAATCCAGGGAGTGCCAATGGGGATGGATTTGACACTGTTCTGTAAACGTTAAACCACAGATTAATAATCATTTTCAAGCAGAAAAAGCGAAAAGCTTACACTAACAATCACGGCAAGAGAAAACCTGAAAATTTTAGCTTGCTTTCAATAGAACTCATTTAGAACTGAAAGCCATTTCCTAAGAAATGGAAACTTGAACACCGGGTATAACCGGATGTTTGCACATCCACTATAGAACCGTTGATACATAATATGATTCATTTCCATAGCACATTCGTTTTTCCATTACATCAACCATTATAGTAATGTTTCCTTGACATGTTAAAGAATGTCAAACCAAGCAAACCTCAAGGGTACGAAAACCAGTCTCTTCAGACTGCATTTCCAACTTAGAACCCAGAATCATACGCCCACCAAAACCACCAGCCTCATCATAAACCATCGGAAAGTGAGCTTTGTGTAGCAGACATTACATAGACAAACTGTAAACTATTATCTCAAGAGGGCGACTTTAGACCTTGAGAACCTAATTCAGCTACATCGCTTCCAATTTTCTCGAGTTGCAACAGAAAGTAATCCTTGAGACGAGAAATTCACAGCGCAAAGATGAAGAGTGAAAGTTCTGTTAAAACTTGCTACCTTTTTTATTGGCAAGACGGGAATCCTATACAAGAAGAGGGGTTGTGCAAGAATGGTGAGCATATTCTTCCGCATTGATTTGATGCGTCAACGAAATTAATCTCTCAATCGCCAGTGTGCCCCTAGTGCGGTCACTTATTCAAATATCGGCGGCAGAAGTAGTACGTACTACGGCAACCGAAGTCGCCCTCCGGCAGGCGGTAGTTGCGGGAGTTGAACTGTGGACGCGTCGCGAGGGCTTTTGGGGTTTAGGTTGAGAGAGGGGTTTAGGTGGAGACTGGACTGCCACATTCACCATTCTATTTTTTTTTATTTTTTACAAAAGATAATAAGATACATTGATTGAAAGTTTGAAACAAATAGATAGTTACATCCTAGCGTGAAACTAGGCAGTGAATCAAAAGAGTGATTAGCGGTCGGTACAATGAAAAGGTCTTTTCTAGTCACCAAATGGGCAATCCTATTGTTACATCGACCTACAAATCGCACACTAAGGCCACTATGAATCTCGAAGCAATGCACGACCTCTTCCAGGATTGTGCCCATCCGACTATCCCAGATATCAGATTAGTGAATCTTGTCGACAACCACTTTGGCATCACCCTCAAATCTTATCTCTGAAAATCCTAGGCTTAAACACCAGAGGATATTCTCCCGAAGAACGAGCAGCTCGACCACCATAGGATCATCCAGTTCTAGGAACTGAGTCCCTTTCACTTAAATGACTAGCCCTGCCTGGTCCAAAATAATCATTCCACCCGCTGAATGGGAGTCGCTCTTAGTTGCTCCATCCCACTTACAGGCCATAGCATTTAGTTCACTCACAACTACTGGCAATCATGAACCGCTAGGATGTGCAACTATGGTCGAAGACCATACTCTCAATTGCCAAACCAAGGATACATTATAGGCTACAAGAGTAGCCCTCTTGGTTTAGGCAATTCAGGGTTGACTTGCCTTCTCCCTCAAACAGATGGTTGGACGGCTTAATCATGACTAACCTAGTTGCTTAATTCAAGATAGAGTTTCGCCCTACATTAAACTAGGTAGGTGGCTTGTCAAGCCCAAGGAATCCCAACTCAATTGAACCACTTTTGGAAAGTGGGGTTTCCCCTCTAACCTAGGTTAGAATGGCCAATTCGATTGCTAAGCACACACATGCACAATAATCATGAAAAATACCTCAATCATTAAATTAAACAACACCCATAAACAATCATTCAAGTCACACTACAACTACATGGCAAATAGTTAGGGTTTTACAACACCCAAGTGAAAAAGAGTACTACTCCATGCTAGAAAGGGAAAGAACACAAGAGAAAGAGGTAGAAACCATCATGGTGATGCCTCCAATCTCCTCTAAGCTTGTGTTGATCTTCTCTTGGGGAGATTCTTCCTAATTCACTACTTGGAGCAAACCCTAGCCTTCCTTCTCCCTTGGTTCGTCCTTTCTCTCTCTAAAATATGAAGAAGAAGAAGACACTTTCTCACTCTTGGACTCTCCCTCTCTCTTCCTTTCAGCTCACACTTTATACTGGGATCGGGCTCAGTTCACGGTCTCATTTCACGGTCGTGAACTCTTCAATGCGTTCATGAACTTGAGCGTCGTGTCGAAACGCACGGCTTCACTCGCGTGATAACTCGTCTTGCGTCAGTAATTGCAGAATTTTCCCTTGACGCTTCGTGGTTCACGGTTTTGGGCTTCAGTTCACGACCATAAGAGACCGTGAACTCCAATGGGAAACCATGAACTTTGCCTGAATCGCGCTCTTTGCCCGGTCTTTGACTCTTTTCGTCCAACTTTCAACTCCGGGGGTGGTTTCCCCTGTTGGATCCCGAAACACACTAAAACGCACAAAACCTAGCGTAAAACCACCCTTTTAGGAGTTCAAATGCTACAAACGCCCGAAGGGAACGGCGGTAAAATGTGTGCAATTAGACCCGAATCACTCCCCACACTTAGACGTTTGCTTGTCCCAAGCAAACCATTTCACACAAGGTAATATCTCAACCAATCAAAATGCTTTGGTGAATCTCAAATGGCAATTGGCAATTCACACAAGGACCATTACAAGCAATACCGACATCCACCACAAACGACATCCGAGGCTACTAGAAACGGACAAATGAAAAGTTCTCACCTTGTTCATGAATCAATGCAAGTTTTAACTAGATCACTTACCAACCACAACTAACCATGCATAGAGTTCAAGTCCAAGGAACAAACGGATGGGCAACAAAGGTCCTCATCGAGGTATGATATGACATGCAAAACAAGAATGAATCGCTCACTCTCTTGACCAGTGGGGTCGGGACCTTTTGGTGCAAAGAATGTGGACAATTATTAACTCTCGAACCTATCGTCTCAACACCACGGCGGCAACCTCTAAATGATAGAGTTCACCGAATGGTTGTCATCACTAGCTTGTTCGGAGGTCTTAGACACAGGTTCAAATGACTAGCGATTGTCTTGGATATGGGAAAAAGGCTTTTTGGGTGGTGTCGAACACATCATGAGGTCCTACATCTTCACCCTAAAACCGAAGGTTCTATGGTTCGACTAAGAACCTTTCTTACAAACAACGGCCACTAGCGACGGCCAAAAACCTTGCTTCTCCCTTCCAACCCATCATGAACTTCCCCTTAAGCGCTCTTCATCGATCTACTCTTGCTATCACACTTTGATTTGATAGTGAAGGAGTTCTAAGACAATGTGGAGGTTTCAATGGCTTGTGTGCCAAGAAATCGCATCTATAGCATACTCTTTGATTCCTTGTGGCACTCTCTACTTTATTTACCCCGTTTTATTACCTCTTTTTCGTTTCTCTTTATCTTTTCTTTCTAATTTCCTTTGGGGGGGGGGGGTACAAGAGAGTTAAACATTTGCCACACTACTTTTAACGAGCAATGCTCTCCTTTTAAGAGCTAACTCCAACACTACTCTTCCTTTCACTTTCATTCCTAGCAAGAACCGCACACAATCCTCCTATGTAGAACCTCAATAGAACTCAAAAGTGAGAGCTCCGGGACACAAGGACGACACATGTATAGACACGAAGAAAGGATGGGGGGTCGTTCTATCAACACCATTAATTTCACTAGCAAAAAGCTCCTAACATGAGAACGACTCCCAAAGTCACAAGGTCAAAGCGGTTGACTAGTGGATAAATCATTTCGGGACAATCAACATTTGGGCGTGGACTAATCATGCCTCCAACATACTCACTAGTGACAACTGTGATGTTACTCGCCATGGCAAGAGGGATCTAAGCACACAAGAAGAAAACAATCGGCTCTAACCTCACATGGCTACCTAATCACCCAACCATCTATTCCAATTCACAAAGCAACATGCATAGCAATTGTAATCAACAAGCAATCGAGTCAAAACAACCATTCATTTTTTCACACATGAGAACTAATGCATTATCCTAATGCACCTCTCAGTCATCATCATAGGACATACTCGATCACATGCAACAATTCAAGGTCAATGCTAATAACCACAAGATTCTCCTACAACCCAGCGGGAAGTCACTCCCCCAAACTGGGTCTCAAGGCGATCCATCCTCTGCACGAGGGGATCACCGGCTGGTCTTGGTACTGAAGCTGGTGGTGATGGTAGTATGGGGCGCTGGAATGCGGGACGCCGGCGGCGTCCGGGGTGCTCGAGCAGGTGGCTGCTCTGGGGGTGGAACCCCTGCAGGTACACTCAATCCCTCAATATACCGAAATGGGCCAAAGGTGCGCAATAAGTGCATGGAGTGCAAGGTGCCCTCATCAAACCCCTGGGTGCGCCCCTCCCTAGTTCACCCCGCAAGGCTGACATTGAAGTGTCGAGCAAGGCGGGTGATGTAGGGACCCATCGATGTGACATAACGACGGTTGCCCCCGTGGCCCTGGCAAAGTAAGTGGCCACGACTGAACCCAGGTGCAGATTGCTCAACGGGTCCACCATTCAAGAACAAGCAAGTAAGATCCTCTCGGTTATCTTGTTCGGGTTGCGGTAAGTCGGATAGAGGGAACGAGCCAGGAGGGCGACGATGACATGCCACTGGGGCTGGAGTGCAGATGCCACTGTGAGGGCTGACCTAAACTTTTTCCTTCGGTGCTCTGGAAGACAGACTTCCAAAATGCGGCATTCATGTCACAACTTTGGATGGTGTCTTCCTCCCACTCTTCCTCATGCTTGGCTTCAACTCCTAAGGCTCTGGCGAACCCGTCGTAGCTCAAAATGAGACATTCCCCTCCCAACAGGAACTTGACCTGGCGTACTTGATGCTCGAGGCGGGTTCGGGTCTTGAAGAGGGGGAAGGTACTGAAAAACTCGACGCACTGTTACCCGTAAATGTCATCTTTGAGATCAAGGAGTTGACGCCATTGTGGGTGCACCACTGCCTCTCTCATAAATCCTATTAAACTGTGTGAAGTCAAGTTTCCAATGGTCACCGTCGTTCGCAGTTTCCCAAAAACACATTTCTTTTTCCATTTCGGGGCGGGCCCTTAGCGCCAGAAGGTATGGGTGGCTCATAGTAACCATCCTGCAAAATTTTGCAAACAAACACCATACATGGAAACATTCGTTAAGCACAACACATTGGGAGGAAAAAGAAATTCCTCCCACGCTTATCTCCTCTATGGATTTCAAACATTTAAGCTCAACCCACCATGGCATGGTTGTGGTTATTTCACGGTTCACCAACACAAAAGCATTGAACCCCAACCCATGCCACGGTGGCTACCAATCAACATTCAAACACAACCATCATTCAACAATTAGCACTTGGTGGGCAAAATCTACAAATAAAAGCAATTCGAATCACCAAATGCCCACCAAGGCTCAACTAGGCTCATGCAACATCGTTTCACCATTCAATATTTGACCCAAAATCAGGCAACCCAACGTGACCCGACCCGTAATTGTAGGCCCCAACCCGACCCGATTGACATGTCTAACTCCCTCTCCCTAGCTAGGAGTCGGAGAGTCCGGTTGATGTTCTCGTCAAGCGGTACTAAAGGCGCCGGATTGCTCCGGGTCATGCACCTCCCTGCACACACTTAGAGATCAAAACCACGTCTAGCACTTACAAAGCACTCAAACAAACAAAGATGAAAATTAAAAGCTAGATTAACACCAAACAACTTTTTCAAGATAACAGACCAAAGTTTCCCGGCAACGGCGCAAAAAACTTGACTTGTCCCGATTATCACAACAAATTCCCACCTA